TGAGTGTTACAGGTGTTACAGCAGTGACACATCTGCTGCTGTCAGGCCTGCAGGTATCAGGCTGTTGTTCTCCTTCATCTCATAGTGGACACAAAGTATTTTTTGGAGCGGCACAAATAATTTGATGCAGAACAGCTGATTGTTCTGTAAATAGTTTGTTTATTTAAAAAACGCCTCGGCTGCATTTTTAGGTAAACAGCTGCAAAAAACTTTGTTGTTTGCAAAACTCAGTTACTTTTTTGAAGAAGTAACTATATAATTAATTGCCCAAAATTGGTCATTATTTACTGTATTTACAGACAGAGTTACAGACTCTCTCCCAGACCACAGACTCACAATACAGTCAGAGCTTTATTTAAAAAAAAGAAAAGAAAAAAAGAAAGTTGTGTTTTCAAACTTGGAGCTGAAGTTATTTTTACTTCCAATAGTGTGAACATGCTACACAGGTCATGAACAATATTGTTTTACATTTTCATTGTAAGTGGGCTAAAGCAGTTAATTAAAAGTAGTCTAACATAAATGTAAATGCTGTAATTTGATTACTTTAATAAACATGTAACTTGGATGATTTGATGCTGGCGTGACCACAGTGCACACGTCTGCTGTTGCTCACAGTGGACCAAGTGACGCTCAGGGAGTTTGTGTGTTCAGACACATGAAACATTAGAGGGAACATTGGTCACCACCACACTTTAGTCTGTGGATTTGTTAATGTTAGCTTATGGTTGTTTAAATACACAACTCAGACAGGTAGAAGGGGCTCGCTGTTAACTGATTTAGAACCAAAAAGTAGGATTTTAAATTAGACAGGAACAGGGAGCCAGCGCTGGGGTTACAGGCTCCTTAGTCAGCAGGCGAGCAGCTGCATTTGGACCAGCTGGAGACGATGAAGAGAGGCCTGGTCCAAAGTCCAGAGAACTGCAGCAGTCCAGTCTGCAAGTAATGAACACATGAATAACACGTTCACAGACATCAGCTGCAAGCTGTGGCTTTACCTTGGCTCGCTGTCCCCGATGGACCACGCTGGAGCGGACTACTGCGCTCACCTGACTACACAGCTGGACTTCCAATAGGAAAGATCACCGTCAGCGTGTTAACAGCTAACTAACCAAACAGGCCGGTCCTTTGTGAACTAGCAACCTTCCAGGCTCTTGTGTGTGGCTTTGCTGGTTATAGGAGTGCTTTCAGCCTGTCAGCCACCTCCACAGGACGCTGGTCAACTCGCCTGCCTGCTCACCCTCCAATGCTCCCTTTTCACTGGTGCAATATCCATGTAGATTACTGGGAACGCTGCCTGGACTCATTCTCTTCTTCTCCTTTGCCAAGACCACATCCTTTCACTGATCTGTGCCACCTCCTGGCAAACATTATCCCGTGTGAGTGTACGATAAAGAACGCCGAACTAGGTCCTGCTGTTTGTGCTGGGCTTCGCCTCAGGTGCTGGTGGGCAGCAGGGTGCCAGTAGAAACGTGCTACTCTTAGATGAAGACAAAAGAAGGAAAGGCAGGCGTGTGGCAGCGAGGGACTGTTACAGGGAGAGAGCTGATATGATGGAGACAGAAGGAAAGCAGGCAGATACAGGAGAGCAAGTTCAAACTGTTCTACATGGTGTGGATAGCAAGTGAAATGGAGAAGATCAAATAGTCTGGTGGAGGTAAGTGTCACACAGGATCATGACTGTGGAGTGACGCTGAATGTCAGTGTGTGTCCCCCAACGAGCAGGTGGAGGAAGCTCAGAGGAGGATGTACCTGTGCAGGTGTGCAGCTGTGGACTCGAACCAGGCTGTTTGGTACATTTAGAGGAGAACCAGTCTGATATGCAGAGGGGACAAAGTGGGTGGCCTCTGTCCCTTAACAGGGTTGTGGACCAACTATTGATCATGTGCCTCACCACATGCGACAAGACAGGCGGCAGCGGACCGCGTGGAAGCTGTGGTGTTTCTTACACGTCATTCTGTTTTTACTGCGCATTCAACCATACTACGTCCACGCGTGTGCTGTGTTCATAACATTCTGTCACTTCCACGGTACAAAAGTGGGACAGCTCTTAGAGCCAAGCCTTCTGTTTGTGTGGGTGTCCCCAGCACGCGCACGCAGGAAGTTCCTTTCCTGTCGAGAACGCGAGATGACGTAAGCTGCTTGCCGCGCAGTGATGATGGCGGTTCGTGAACGCGCAGTAAAAGTAATGGCTGCTCTGGATCGGCGGGTTCCTAGCCTCGATGATTTCGTGGGTCAAAGCTGGACTGCCTGGGCCGATTGGGCGGGCATGACGCCGGCGGATGGTAAGGAAACACCCTGACACAAACACTGATCGCTACGGAGCCATTTAACGGAAGCAGCGGTGTTTATTCTCGCGGAAACGCAGGACAGAGCTAAACATGTTACCCAAACAAAGACCCTACCGGGTCCTAGTGCTGGGTGGGTAACATGTTGGTCTTCACTAGGTTACAAAAATGATAATTGTAAGGACACAGTCATTGTAGCATGATTTTCACCTGTGTGGTCATAAAACAGTCTGCAGCGTTTAGGGGAGACCATTCGTGTGGAGAAAACCGGCAGGGCTGGCTGACATCAGGGCGGAAGGAGGCTAGTGTGGACGGCTGGCCGTGGAAAGCGAGGATACGAGCTACCATGCGAGCCCGACTAGCCGGTGGCGACGAGGTAGTTAGCATTAGCATGCTAACGCTAGCAGCAGCCGGATTCAGAGCAGACGCCGGTGACGGAGGAGGAGTCTGACGCGTTTGCACCGCTGGCCCATCCTGTGATGGAAGGAAACATTTTGTGTGTCGTTCCCACTTCGCTTCCTTCGTTTCCTAAACAATGATACTCGTGGACTCGCCATACGATTCCTCGTATATGTGGCTTCTGCCCACAGTGTTCTTGCTAGCTTTAACTCACTGTTTGGCGTTTCTCCAGTGCTGCTCTGCCCATTAACTGTCAGATAGTCCCCCCACCACCCATTAGCTACTCCCTGCTGATCGTGTACTTTGGCTACGAGTAATTCCTGAAGAAACGGTTGATCTGAGTCAATTACATAACACAGCTTATTAATATGGGCTATGTGTGATGTAAGATGAGCTTTACTAATGATGATACCAACACCACAGCTGACAGTGGCTGTCTTGAACATGTGTTTCAGGGCCTGATGTGGATGACTGCAATAAGAATGGCAAAAAGGCTGCAGAGGCAATGTCACTCAGTAAAGAGGGTAAGTGTGCAGGTTGGGAACATGCCTCATACTTCTGGATCTCAGCTTTTCTAACAAACACACCTTTGCAAATACACATGCTGGATGCTGTTCTCTCAGGGGTACCTGACAGTGCGTGTGAGGACGGCCATAAGAGCCAAGCAAGGCTGACCTGACGCCCCCGCTGTTCTTAGTTTGAATCTGCTGTGGAGGTTTGGTTAAAAAATCTTTGGCCAGACTCAGAAAGTTTCGTCAAGCCAAAAGTGTAACAATGAAGAGTCTTCACAGAGCTCACACTGACTTTCAGATCAGCTTTTGTTGGAAATAGGCTTAAATTTCTATTTTTCTTTTGTAGTTGTATTAACAGCTTCTAACACTACACAATCCACATGCTTTGTAATGCTGTGCATTGTAACACACGTCTGTGACGACGGTGTGTTGGAGCGCGCTTGGCACGTAGAGGAGCGTGAGTGTTTGGCACGTGCACGCCAGCGTCGTCGCTCTAAATCAGTGGTTCTTAACCTGGGTTCGATCGAACCCTAGGGGTTCGGTGAGTCGATCTCAGGGGTTCGGCAGAACCTCCGCCGTGACATGCACGGCTCATTTTGTGCACCAGTAAAAAACATATATATGTCTTGAATTTGAAAAAAATCTTATTTTCTTTTTCACTAAAGAGTTGTTCAGTGAATGTGCATATGAAAATGGTGGGGTTCGGTACCTCCAAAAAGGTTAAGAACCACTGCTCTAAACGAAGCTTTGCAGTGTTTCCAGCCTGACCGGCCTGTGGTTGCAGCTAGCACCGAGCTCCTGCTCATGGTGCACATCAGGGGAACCTCACCAGTTTATGCCATCATTTACAGTCCTATTTTTATGTCAATGAATTTCTCCTAAAGGTTTGTGTTTGTAGTGCACACTAAGGTTGGGCGAGTGGACGTGTTTACCGACGGCAGGCTGATCGACACTCCATCATTGTCTAACTGCTTCGGTCGAGGGCTGGATAGCGTTAGCTTCTATAAAGTGTGCACGTCCAAACTTCAGTTATTGGCTTCCACATACCGACGTGTTGGCGTGTGGCTGTGCGTGAATATGTGTTTGTGCCGCTGTGCTGCAGATGCATGAAAACAGCCAGCTTCTTATTAAGACCAGCAGCAGGCTGACTGGCCCGTCACTGGTCAGGGCAGCGATCTATTCTGGTCCCCAGTCGGTGGGTTTCCGTGAGCCTGGCTGAGGACTGTCGTGTGATCATCCTGTTTACCTGTACGCCTGCTCCTGGGGCAGGATATTGACTTGCACATACATACTGTTTGACCCAGTGGGGAGTTTATTTGTGAGCACAGGAGGAAGTGGAAAAATGTCTTTACTGACTTATAATTCTGCTAATGCGTTCATGCTGTTTTCTCTAAGACACGCCTCCACTCATAATGGCTTCAGTAGACACACGGGAGTGTTTCACTGACAAACACAAGCTGTTCGTGAGCACAGTGATACAGCTCATCATTTCAGTAAACACGCTCGGCCTGTGTTTGGAGATGATGTAAGAGGATACCTGCTCCAGTGTTCAGCATGTGTGCACCATGATGCACATTCAGAGGACGCGTCAGCCAGAGGCAGCACTCAGCTTTAGTAGTTCAGAAGTATTTAGGATATCGCACCAAGTGAAAGATGCTAACAGCACCGCTCTGTGTGCCTATGACGCATGAAAGCTGTGCCGACCGTCAATGACAGAAGCGAGAGTCACAGCTGGTGTGTTTGGCGTGCGGGGAGACGTCCACATGCAGAGTTTCTAACACTTCTTCAGCTGGTGGATGCTTTTGTGGTGCTGCTACATTTTGCAGCGATAGTTTCACGGCATGTTTTGCAAAGACTGCATTTTGTTCGACGTCCTCCTCGTGAAATCCGAATGACATGCATCTGCAGCATGGTTGCATGCAGACAGCTTAATGTTTCCATGGCAACCTGTACTCAATGGTTACCATAAAGCCACTTTAACCATTGTACGTGGAAAAACCCGCCATATTCGATACATCGCACACCCATACCTTGGTAGTGAGTGAAACAAAGCCTGAGTCTGCAAATACGTAGTCGGGTAAGTGAGCCCCGACTTACAGCGTCTCCGTGGAGCAGGCTGCACAGTAGAAGCAGATCCAGCAGCTACGAGCATGTCAGTCGCAAGAAGCACGCCTGCACGTGTAGATTTAGGATGTTTGAAACCGTAGCTTCCTCTAAGTGAGAGTACGTCTTTCTGTGTTCTTCAAGACATGTCCATCTTTGGCCTCTACCCCGGCCATGACGACTTCTACCTGGTGGTTTGCAGCCACTGCGGGCAGGTCGTGAAGCCGCAGGCCTTTGAAAATCACTGCGAGCGGAGACACGGGCCTGTGGCCAAGCTGTACGCCCGCTTACGCTCTCCCACCCCGGCACCGCAACCCCAACAGAGAAGCCATCACGGCCCCTCTCCTCCTCATGGGACCAACGCTGCTTCGTGGGAGGGTCGAAACCAGGGAGTCGGGCAGCTCCGGGCGGCTCCGCCTTCACCCGTCACACCACCACAGTACAGATACTCGAAGACCTCCAAGGACGGAGTGCGGTAAGAACACAGTCCAGTCAAAATGTCCGAGCTAAAGCACTAATAGATGATGTCAGCTGTTCAGAGTGTAGTGGCTAGCTTGGATTGGAGCAAAGATTGTGTTCATCTCTAAATGTACAAATGTTGTGATGTGTTCTTATATCTAATTGAAATAACAACTAAAGACAGTGTCGGCCTCTCTGTAGCGAGTCATCCAAACACACAGCAGCACATTAATGACTGACCTTTGAACCTGATGCTGTTTGTCACTGTGCTAATGTGTTTACATTATTAGCGCTAGCTCTGTAGCTAGCTGAAGCTGCAGCGAGCCCATAGTCTTTGATTAGGTAACAGCAGAGCCGTGTGTTCTGGTGCATCGTGTTTAGATGGAAGCTGGCGCCATAAATCCTCTGTGGATGCTGACTGTGTAATAACACAGTTATAACAGCTTTAGTGCTGAAAGGGTGTTGGCTGTGTGAACTCGGTGCTTGCTGGAGTCTGGGGGCTACAGACAGGGTCGCACCCAGAAAAGAGGTCGGACTTGTCTGTGGTAGAATCTCTCAGCTCGTCGCCTTTTCTCTCAAATACACATTTGACTTTTTTATTTTCGAGCTTTGGTGAAGCCCTTTGGCGTGTCCTGATGCGTGCTGCGCTGTAACCTGCTCGTGGCAGTCCCCGTTACATCGTTCCAGCTGGTAGCAAATGATTGGTGGAGAGAAGCCGGCGTGAAAGTGGGCATCTTCTTAGTTCGTGATTTCCTGTCATACTTGGTGGAGCGTGCTGGGTTATCATGTTAAAGTTATTAATCAGAGTGTCGAGCTCACAGCTCAGTACCAAAGCCTCACACAGCTTTCTATCCAAACCCTGTGTTAGCAGCCAATCAGCACAGAGCTGTGTTAGAGACGAACACATGATCTGAGAGAGTAATGTAGAGCTGAGACGTGTGAATGAGCACATAGAGCCCTCTTATTCATACATGCTTGTTTTTCATTGGCTAAACTGTGAACTTCTTCTCTTGTCACCAAGACACTCCCCACTGGAGAAGTCCCACAGCAGTCACTTTGACTCTTCGGTGTTCAAGCAGCCACCACCTCTCGAGCCTCCCATGAGCTCCCCGCCTCCGTCTCTCAGAGACCCCCCGTGGCCACACGGAGCTACTCCGCCTGGTAGATCTTCACCCAGTGACAGGCACCCCACAGTGAGAAAGGATTCCACTCAGACCTCCGCTGCCACACGCCACCGCATCCCCAGACCCTACAACAAAGTGGCTTCCAGTGAGTACAAGTTCAGACGTGCAGGCGATAGAGAAAGTAGATGTCAGTAGAAGTGTGGTGCATTCCCGAATAAGTCGGAAGGTTTTAAAGGTTTTTGTTTCCCACTCGGAAAGTCCGAGCCAACCAATGTGACCCGAGGTAGCAATCCAAGATGGCGGCACTGTTAAAACGAGTCGAGCGTCACTCCGAGCTATTCTGGAACGCTGCGTTCATGTCTGTGCGATGTCATTGTTGTGTTTGAGTCTGCAGCCGGTGTCTGCTGACGACAGCGTGACGCACTGCATCATGAAGGAGCAGCCTGCCGAGTGCAGAGAGCGCAGCCGCAGCACGGCCGTCTGCGCAGCAGCAGCAGGTTGGAGCGCAGACGGCCGTGCTGCAGCTGCGCAGACTGTCATGCTACAGCATGGCCGTCTGCGCAGCTGGAGCGCAGCTGCAGCTCTGCAAAGCCGCGCTCCAGCTGCGCCCCAGCTGCGCAGCTCCAGTCGTGCTGCAGACGGCCATTTGCTTTCAAATAGAATGAAACGGTGTGTCCACACGTGTGTCCACACGTGTGGACACACGTGTGGACAACAGACGTGAGCTTGTGCTGTCACACTGTGGCTCACGTGGCTTCTGTGTGTCCTCAGAGAGGAAGTGCGACTTGGACAAACACTGCGGCGTCCTTGACCCCGACAGGAAGAAAGTGTGCACCCGCCTCCTGACCTGCAATGTAAGCAACACACACACAC